ATCAGGAAACTATATCCTGAGGGAAAACTTCCACACTGGGTAAATTTTATATTTTCCAAAATTTTAAAAGAAATTTTAATCAAAAATAGGTACATGTTATTATTTTTATGCTTATTTTTTAAAGTGTTTACTTTTATCCTCAGATAATATGTAGTTTTTTGTCATTATGTATTTCTTTCATTTCCCCATTGAACTTTTGACATATTTTTTATGCCATTTGTTAAAAAACTATACAGTTACATCAAATGGCTAAGGATTTGTGGTGTGACTTGGTTTAATTCAGGGACAGATGAACAGGTAAATAATTGTTTGGAAGGAAATAAAAAGGAGAGCTAATCTTTGAGTAATTATCATGTGCTAGGCATTAATTAACTCTTTACATGTAATCTTGATCTTATTTGTTTTCTTTCTTTCTTTCTTCTTAGTTACTTGGAAACCTAGTATCAGACTTTGTAGATACCTTCAGGCCCACGGCAAGGATAAACTCCATATGTGGTAGGATTGTAATTTAAAATATACTAAATAGTACCTGATTTTTAGTGATCTGATTGTTGAAGAAAGCTGAAAGATAGTTTCTTATACATACATGTGTAGATGGCTTGTCATTTTAGTAACTCTCTAGGAGCTTAATAATAGCCTTATACTTCTTTTCAAGTACTTGTTGTATTGTTTATAGGAATGAAAAAGCAACTATGTGGAATGGGTTTAAGTTTCAAATTAAAAGAAGTTGTGTTTCTTGGTAGTTAGAAAGAACTTTGAATCTCTAGACAACTGGAAAACTCAGCAGACCTATCCTTCTGTGAAATAGTCATGAGAGTATGACCCTTTGTCATTAACACCTTTGTCCTTCATTGCATTTATTTAGTTTTCCATTTTCTAGTATTTTGTTTTGATTCTCTGGTCTTTTAAAAATAACCATGTGGTATGGCAATCTATATAGTGCACAAATCTACACCTACGTATACTTTTTCTAAAAATTATGGTGGCCTTAGAGCTCTCTGGGAATATAGATCATATTTATTCTGTGATCAAGTATAGATCACTTCCTGTGAGCCAGGTACTATCTAGACACTAGAAATGCAAACAAACAAACAAACAAACAAACAAAAACTAGATAGATAAGTCTGAGGCTTCTAGGTTCTATAACTGCGTGATCACTGATGTCATTTAATGAAGTAAAGTAGTTTTTGAAAAGGATGATGTTGAGTTATACTTAAGACATGTTGAGTCTGAGGCAGGCTTGTGGGATATTTAGGTGACAGTATTCATTTGTCAGATATATGAACTGATGGTCAAATGCTACATCTAAAGCTTCTAGGGACATCTTGCATAAAGTTAATCATATTGACTCTTGACCAGTGTTCTTAAACTTGATATAGGGCCATCTTTTAAATATTTTAAGCTTTTGTGCTACACAGTCTTGCAACTATTCAACTTTGCCATTATACTGCTTTTTTTTCTAGTAAAACTTTATGAAAAGAGATGGCAGGCTAACTTCTGTTGGACAAAATGCAATATTTTGAGTTTGGAAGACCTGTACAAATTGATCTTCATCCATCTGGACAAAATATAGGGCAAAAAAATATTTCTACACTGAGTCTCTTTAAGACATTTTAAAAACCATTTTTAAACCAGTACCTGGTTCAGCATATATAGACATTTAGATATTTGTGGAGTGAATGAAGGACCTGACACTGCTATGTTCACATTTACTTTAAGACATTTTTGTGCTACATACAGGCCGCTGCAGTCTTCTACCAGTTGTAAATAACTCAGGTGCTATTTGTAATTCATGGAAATTGGATCCTGCAACTCTTCGTTTTCCTTTGAAAGGCCTTTTGCCATATGATAAGGTATGTTGTTAAATAATTATATTAAATTTCTGGTCCATCTAACAGTATTCATCTAGATTGTAAGATATGTGATGCCATCATTGTCTCTTTGTGGTCTTAACAAGTAAATATTGTACAAAGATTTATGGTTTTTCATGTCATTCCATCATCCAAATATATTCTACCACTTATGCTGTTTTATTTGTGCTTCTGTGGTTTGTAAATACTTGAAGATAGAACACACAAATTTTAAAGTGATTCTTAGTTAAAAAAGTGGTATAACCAGGATTTGATTATTCCTAAACTATTACTTTAGTGAGCAAGTCTTGAAGATTGGACTGATTACTTTTTTGGGGTGTAGAGTTGCTCTTACAACTCTTATCCACAGTAAACCAACTCTTGTTATAAAATATTCTGCATTAAACAGTCACTTTGACTACTCTGTTTAAAAATGATCCAAGAAATCCTTTAAAACTAGTACTTGAGAGGCTGGGGTGTGACTCAGCAGTAGAGCACTTGCCTAGCACCTGTGAGGCCCTGGGTTCTATCCTCAACACCACAAAGAAAGAAAGAAAGAAGGAAGGGAGGGAGGGAGGGAGGAAGGAAGGAAGGAAGGAAGGAAGGAAGGAAGGAAGGAAGGAAGGAAGGAAGGTTGGTTTTGTGTCCAACTATTTTAAAAAAAAAACACTAGTACTTGAAGTGAATGCTTATGTTTATAAGATATTTTTGCAGATATTTTACTATTAAAATGAAAAAAGGATCAGACTCTGGTAGCTAGGGTGCAATGAGAGACTACAGCCTAATAGGAGTGAATTTACAAGAAAAGAAAATTTCAAGAGATTTATTGTAGTAACTATTGCTAGGGGTTTTATTGTTTGTTTGTTTACCTCACAATTATAATAGCAGAAGTTTTAAAAGATTTTCTTAAAAATCAGTATATAAAGTACTTCTTCCTTCCTTCCTTCCTTCCTTCCTTCCTTCCTTCCTTCCTTCCTTTCAGCCAAGAGACCTATAAAAAATAAAACCAAGCTAACAATATGCAAATAATACTTAAAATAAAATTTCCATTTACTGTATTAACACATTGTCTTCAACAAAATAGACATAAAAAATGATGTACTCTAGAAAACTTACTCAAAAAACAGTCTGGCATGCATGGAAGAGTTAGAATAAACTTAGAATGAAATCTTCCTAAATTATTATATTTAATAAATGTTAACATTTTAAAATTAATATATTTTAGGTATAGGCCAGCTAAATTAACAAATACAAATTCATCTATATCTCTGAAAATTTGTATATTTTTAAGTGCCAAAAAGTAATCTTGGCAATCTTATTAGGGAACCAGGAGATTGATCCTTTTATATTCAAGACATATTGAATAAACTTTCATGTTAGTCATTTGGAAAAATGGCTTTAAACTCTGAAAAATATTTTACTTTTAAAATGTACCTTTTGGTATTAATTATTGTAAACTAGATTTGGTTTTCAGAAATTTTGTTTATATTCTTAGAAACTTTAGAAAATTGACTGTGAGGTTTTTACATAAAGGAAGCAAAGATCTTAATGATGTTTCTCTAAAGAGACATCATATAGGAAAAAAAAATTATATAAATTGACATTGTGAGACTCTAAAATTGAAAACTTGTTCACCTTTTATTTTTTCAGGAAAGTAGAGGGGGATGTACACTAGGGAAGGGGATTAAAAGACCTGTTATCTTTATTTTTACCCTCTGTATGACCTACAGCAAGTCTTTTCTCCGTGGTTTTTAAATGAATGGTGAGAACAGATTGACTATAACCACTAAAATCCTATAATTTTTTTTTCCACTAGATTCTGCCTACTGTGGGAAGGTAACAAGTGCCATTAGAGGATTCTTTAAAATCTCATTTTCAGATCATTTGCATTAATGCTTTATGTTTATCTTGAAGCAATAATTATTTTTTATTTTCTTTAAAGGATCTATTTGAACCACAGACTGCTTTGTTGAGATATGTATTGGAGCAGCCTTATTCCAGGGATATGGTCTGCAATATGCTAGGTTTAAATAAGCAGGTACTGTACTATGCTGGAAACTTAGTAAAATCTGCATAGAATCTGCACTATTCTTTTCTCTTTTCTTCGCTATAGCTAACTGAGCAAAACAGTTAAGAACTCTTTGGTGACTTTTTTTAGTATACAGTTTGTTAAACAGTATATTGTTTATTATTTATATATTGCTTTAAAAATGTTTAAATTAAAAAGGAGATATTTTTAAAGTTGGTTTATTTTGCATTGCTTTTTTTTCTATAAGGCCAGTTTCAAGTATACCTTTTGCCAGAGAAACCTACACATGACTTAACCAAAGTTTTTTACATTTTTGTTTGTTTGGGTCTCTATTTTTGTGACCCTGGTATCTTCAGTGTGGCCTCTTTGCTGATTTTTTTTTTTTTTTTTGATGTGTGTTTTGGTGGTTTTGGTGGTTTAACATGTGGGAGGGTTTGTGCTGACTCTGGGTTCCTTGAGGCTGGCCTCATAGTCACTGTTTTGTCTTTTCTTTTTTTCTTCCTTTATTTTTGTTCTGTCCTGTCTTGTCCTGCCCATCCTCCAATGCTCTAGACCTTGAACATTGCTCAGGTATGTTCACAACCTTACTGTTGTATTGTGACTAACGATACGCTGGCCGCTTTGTAGCCACTGATTCCATTTAGAGAATACGTGTATGGTCGGGGCTTGAAATTGGCAGGACCATGCTGAGACCAAGGCCACTAAAAAAAATAAAAACTTCTTGGGATATGAGAGTTATTTTTGGTGGATGGTTTTTTGTTTTTGTTTTTGTTTTTTTGGTGTTTGTTTTTTTAAATATTCTTATTTTTTTGAGAGACAACACCTGGCACTCAATAAAGCCTGTCACTTTTTGATGGGTTATTTTTTCTTCCCACTCCATTTTAATATTTTCATAATTTAGAGCAAAAGTTAGCCTGATGGAATTTTCAGAGATGGAAAGATTTGTGGTAGCCTCTCTTTCCAGGCTATTAAAACAAACAAATAAACAAACAAAAAGAAAAACTTACGTTGCTTTGTCTTAAAAACAAATTTAAATCAAAACAAAAAGAGATAAAAGCACTTTAATAGAGCTACGCTGCTTTTAAAAGTTGGAGTGGTAAGCTTTATACAGGGAATTCTTTTTTGGAAACATGGGGATTGACAAAGAAATGTCACACTCTTAGGTGACCCCACACCTCTTGACAAACACCCTTCTTTGTCAATCTTTGCCAGATGTGTCCTCCTCCTAGAGTGGGCTCCTCTCAGTTGCAGCTCACTTATGGTGGGGGAATAAACACTATGGCCATACTTTACAAGCCAAACTCTTATGCAGTCCCAAGTCTGTTCCAGGACTTTTCACCTTTGAGATTTTAATCAAAATAGTGGTTCCAATTATTTTTGTTAAAAATTTTTGAGCCCAACATATTAAAATAGACCAGCTTTTTTATTTTAAAAAGACATTCTTGTTCTAGGTTATATAAAATAGCGTTACTGTTTGCAATACTATAGTGAAGGTTGTGCCAGTGCTTCCATTTATAAAGCCCTATTTTTAAGGACATATAGCTTGGCCATAAAACTTGCTCAGTGTTGAAACTTTGCATGCCAAACCTCACCCTAGTAGCAATATCTCTCTTATTATTTTAAGTTTTTTCTTCTGAAAAATTCACCAAGTTTCCTTGTTTGGACAAGCCTTTGTACATGTGAAAATGAAACTGCTTCACCACTAGAGTATCAGATAGTTACCTCAATATAATCTGTCAATTTAACTTCTTAAATATCAAGTTATTAGTTCTGGTCAACTTTCACTTGAGTTAGAGGTAAGTATTCAGCTAACTTTGGAAGAATGCTAGCATCATGCTATGTCATAAAATAATTTTTGCAATGAACTATAAGTCATACTCGACTCAATTTTTTTACAGATTGGTGGATAAATGTACCCATGGTCATTTGAGCTGAAGTACCTTACCCCAGATATCTTTAGCTATCCATACCCTTTTTTCTTTTGGGGGCAGCTCAAAGTGTAAATTGACAAAACAATTCAGAGAAAAGTATTTCTGATCTGATTATTTCAATAACAAGTTTCAACCTAAAAAAAGTTTATGACTAAGACATAAATCCATAAAAAATAAAGTTTATAATGGAAATGCTGACAGAACATTATTAGTATTGGTCCCACTGTAGTGTAAACATTGTCAAAAATTCACAATTCATCAGTAATTGTTTTCATAGGAAACTGTAGTGAGGGGACTTGTAGATGGAAGATAATATGCTGAATTGACTTGATATATTATTTTTACCTACTGGAAAGAAGAGTACAAAATAGAACACACAGTATAAGAAGCATATGATTAAAAATAATCAAGTCTTCTTATTATATCTTTTATCATTACAGAACTATATCCTGTACTATACTTTCTTGTCCTTTCTCTGGTAACACAATAATTTACTTAAAGCTTGAAACTTTTTAAAGACCTGTCCATATTGCATTTTCCAGTAGGAATTGGGCTATATTATTCTAAAATTGGTCATATTCAGAAGGTCATAAATAGCCCAGTTCTATGACTGTCAGGTAGTGTTGGACTTAAATTCACAGTAAAACAGTCTTGTTTTATATATTTGAATGAGAGAATTTGTATTTTTTTTCCTACTGAATAAAAGCATCATAAATCTCAGCTCCTAAAGCTTATACCTAGTGGGTATGAACTCTTAGTACCATATGACCGTTTATCTCAAACTAATCACTCAGTTTCCCTTGGAAGTTATTAACTGGTGTAAGAATCTGATTCTGATTGGTAGCTTCTTTGGTTAAAGCAGAGAATTGATAAATGACACTGAAAAGAGATTTTTCCCTCCTAGCTTGTCCTGAATAGATATTGCTTTAAAATTGAGAAAGAATACTATAATAATGATTTAGAATTAAGCCCTCCTAAGTACTGTACATTAAATTTGCATTGCAAAAGCAGTACCAGAACTGTAACATGAAAAATGTTAAGTGCCACTCAGTACAGGATATGAGATACTAAGACGAAAAACATTATAATTTACCAGCTTAAATAGGGTTGGAAAGAAATCAGGGATATAGGTAGAGCTTATTAATGCTTTTGCCTGGTTTTTAGCTGTTGTGAAAGCTGAAATTTTAAATAAAGTTTCAGTATAATTTGGGCTATTGTGAAGAAATAAAATTGTTTTTAGATTTAGATATTCTTATTGTTAAAACAGGTTTTAACTAAGTATGCATATAAATAGTATGTAAACTAAAATACTAAATTTTATATGTCAGTGTTTTGAAGGCTTACATTTACCAACACTTTCAGGAAGCAAGATGTACATAACTATAAATAGGAATAGTATCTATTGACTTGCAGAATTATCTTACCCTAGTGATTGATAATTAACTTTTATTCATAGGTCATTAAACTGCCTGGAAAATGTTCATTTGTTCTTCTGTGTAAAAATGATGTATGGTAAAGTCTTAATTTTTAATGTACTTATTTTTTAATAATTATTTTAATTCAATTAGTTTTTAATAATTTAATGTACCTGTTTTTAATAATAAAAAACTAAAAATTTATTTGAGAATAGCAATATAGATCATTTTATAGTTCAGACCTTTCTTTTTAGTTATTACCAAAATTGTCAGAGAAACAAAGCAACATGTCTTAGACTATCTTTGAAATTGTTTTGAGAAATATCCTTGGTTTTAACCAAAAAAGTCTAGGAAATTTATAGTTAATCCTATTGGATATTCTACTCCCATCAGATAATAAGACATGAGGTACCACAGAGTTTTCTGTTTGGATTTAATTCTTAACAGAAAAGTTAGGGATAATCTTGAATAATGGCATATATTGAAAGACCATCAGCTTTAACTGTAACTGTTTATACATTGTCAAAATTTTAATATTTTTGGTTTTTCTTTTTAAATTATTAAATAAATGACTTATGATGACATGCCTAAAAACATGTAGGTGACAATCTAGTTTTTAAAAACAAATAGCTAATACTAAAAAGGGAAACTCGAAAGTGACTCAGGTGTTAAATACCAGTTTTATTTACTTTATACTTTTTTCCTGAAGTAGATTGATGGATGACCAACATGAATGGAGAAATAGATGACAAATTATTTAGTTTCCAAACTAGAAGCAAATTCCCATCACTAGTGAAAAATTCCTACTGGAAATCCTGGCTTTATTTCTTTTCACAAATTTTTCTGACTCTTGTATGATCTCACTCTAAATTTGTGTTGTCTGACACATTTCTTAGGTTGTTGGTGGTTGGCAGAACTAGTGAATTTCAAGCCCTGTACACAGTAGTTTTGCATGCTGGTTTAAGAAATAGTCTGTAGTGTTGTCTGTTGCACTTTGCTCTGCTTCATAATGACAATTACATTTGGAGGAAAAGTACTGTAGTCTCAACTGGTGGTGTTAATATTGCTATTTGTAAACCTGTAATGTGGTTGAACTGTGATCATGGCATTGTGTTTTTTGAAAAAAAAATATGAAACGACCATTGATGCTTACCGTTTGGGGTAGATGTTTGTTTTATTTGCATGCTTTAAGAAAGTGCAGCTATATTGGAGCTTTACAATTTGGAGCTGGCAAAGAGCATGCAAAAGAGGGGATGCGATTCATTATGTTTTGTTTATTTCTAAATTTGTCCCCATTTTGCATTTTTTCTCTAAATTTGAAGAAATCATATCCCTTTTTCATGGCAAAAGAGTGATTATTTTATCTAAAGTCTAGAGGAAAGTTATATTAGTAATTATATTCTCTAGAAAGGCTTTAAACAGCCTGCTACAAAGTCATACAGTATATTTGTAAAGGAAAAATGAAGTGGCTTTTAAAATATGGCTTATCATACTTCTTTTGGTAAAAATATATTTTTAAAATCACTTTTTAAAAAACAAACCTTTTTGCCTCTAGAAAGGGAAGTTGCATTTTCATTGTTAGTGTTTAAACTCAATTCTTTTTCTTGTTTTAGACTTTAAAATGGTCTACTCTAAAATTAAAGCTGCATTATGTTTGGCTTTCAAGGTGGAAGAGCAGAGGTTAATTTTTGAGTGTTTTTATTTTATTTTATTTTATTTTTATTGTGGAGAAAGTTTCCATTCTGGTATCAGGATTATTCTATTCACTGAAAAACAGTGAGTAATCTGTCAGCTATTTAAGTTTACCTCAGTATTCAAAGATAGTGTAAAATTGTAGTGGTTATTTTAAAATCATAGATACACATACTGGTTTATTTGCTCTTTGTCATTATTTGATCCTTGAAAATTCAAGGTTTTAATCTTTTGAGTTGGATTACAAAATTAATACTGATGGTTTTATTTCATATGCCTTTTAAAATGTTCTTTTTTCAAAGGATAAACAGTGAAATTTTTGGACTGTGAGATGCCCTTTGTCAAATTGAAACAATGATAATAATAATAATAATAGAAGTCAAAAATTAGTAGTAGTCTGTTTTGAGGGGAAATTTGAAAAGGATTTTTTTATGAAACTCATCCTCTATGATAATGTGACATGATGCAGCTTTAATATACTAAATCTAACCTTAACTTCTTAATTTCAATTTCATTCCATGCTTCTCGGCCTCTTGTACAATTAATGCCCATTAACTGGTTACTTCTAAAACTAACCGGGAGGCTTTTGGAATACTGTATTTAATCTCTGCCCTACAGCACAAGCAGCGCTGCCCTGTGCTGGAGGACCAGTTGGTGGATCTGGTGGTTTATGCCATGGAGCGGTCCGAGACCGAGGAGAAGTTTGATGATGGGGGAACAAGCCAACTCTTGTGGCAGCATCTTTCAAGTCAGCTCATTTTCTTTGTGCTTTTCCAGTTTGCCAGTTTCCCACATATGGTCCTTTCTCTTCATCAGAAGGTATGTACCAAGTCTTTTAGTCAGAGCCATCATACCTGTTAATAAATATATTTTAGACTGGCATGGGCACTAACAGCAATGGCAAAAGTCAGAGCCTTAATTTTTGTTCAGTTCAGCACTTTTATGGTTTTTTAACTTTTCACTTTCTTGTCATTATGAAAACTGGATCTATTCATTCATTCTGCATATTCACAGTGCAAGGCCCAGGGGATAAAAGATGAAAAGCCACTTTAGTACCCTCAAGAAGCAGCTCAGTAGTGGGGAAGATACATGTGTGAACAACTTGAGTGTAATCTAATAGTTGGCATCATGGAAGCATGTTTCCCTGTGGTAGGAATGAATCATCCCTAGTAAGGCCCTCTATCAAAGAGAGCTTTAAGCTAACACTTAAAGGATGAATAGAAATTTGCTAAGAGGAAAGATAATGAAGGTTTTCCTAACAGTAAGATCATCATTTAGAAAAGGATAAAGGTATGTAAGAACTGAAAAGAAGACTGTGAAGAAGGAAGTGTTGATGTTATGAGGAAGGCAGGGACAGATGTAGAGAACTTTATGCAGCCCTGAGAGCTTAGAGTTTCTTTTGGTAGCCATGAGGTGGGAAATGGCATCATATTTAATTTGGAAAAGTTACTGCTAATGGCCCCATGAAGAAAGATGGTAAACTGGACACGAGTGGGGTGAAAAGTAGAAGCAATGAAATCAGTAAAAGAGATAGTGCAGTGGGCTAGGTGAAAGATGCTGAAGGCCTACACCAGGATAGAGATGATGAGCCAGAGATCACATATGCTGAGGAGGTTGCATAGGACTAGGTGATTGACAGCAGGGAGTGAGAGGTGAGGCTTGCCTCACTGGTTTCCACTTTGGTTACAGATAGAAGGCAAGGACAGTGAATCCAAGAAAGTAAATACAAGTGGAAGAATAAATTTGTGGGAAGAGCTGGTTTAAGCTTTAAAGTTTTAGGCATGTTGAATGGGAATAAAGTAAACATTAATGTTTGTAACGTTTCCATAGCATTGATTGTTTGGAAGCATATCATTCATAATTTCTTTAACCACCATACCCCTCTCCCTACAATTAGTTTCTGTTAAACTCTATAGTAAGAAGAAATATTTTTTGATAACCAGTCCTTAAAGATTTTAAATTTAAAACAAAGATCTTTTGGTATAATAAATGATGTTTTGATAAGATATTTTTAATAAGAATTACCCTATATTGAGCTTGATTCTCACGCACACATGATCAGTTAAATTATGCTCTAAAACATTGAATCTTTAATGTGCATAATTATTTTGAACAGGAGACTTGTATTATCATAGTAAAATAATTTAGCCAGCTTTTTGTGATGTGTCCTGAATTTAGACTGAAGAGATACTTAACACCAAAGTTGGATATTGAATTTCTAGTATAAAAACCATGTGTGTGGTCAGCTTTTTATTGCTATGCCAGCATGCCTGAGATAAATAGCTTATAAGGAGAAGAGATAAATTTTGGCTCACAGTTTCAGTACATGTTACCTTTCAGCCTGCAGCAAAGCAAGTGTATCATGATTGGGAATGTATAGCGGAGGAAACCTGTTCACCTCATGGCACCCAGGAAGCAAAGGAGGAGGAAGGGGCTGAGGACCTAGTATCCCCTTCAAGGGCTCACCTCTGTGACCTAACTTACTTCTTCCACTAGGTACACTTCCTAAAGGTTTCACCATCTCCAAAACAGTGCTATCATCTGGGGACCAAGCCTTTAGCATATGGATTTTTAGGGTACATTTAAGATCTAAACCAATATACCAACATTTCTCTCCTTTTTTTAGGGGGGGAAACCCACAACTTTCTACACCCGACTCTTTAGCTGTATGTACATTTGTACTTAACATCTTTTACAGTTAGCAGGGCGAGGACTAATCAAAGGCAGAGATCATTTGATGTGGGTTCTCCTACAATTCATTTCTGGAAGTATTCAGAAAAATGCTCTAGCTGATTTTCTCCCTGTCATGAAGCTCTTTGATCTTCTCTACCCAGAAAAAGAAGTAAGTTTTACTGAGTAGTTAACAATGTGATGAGTTAATAATTACATCTAATTTATATTTAAGAATTTTACTGTGATTTTATGAAAAGAATACTGGATTTGGGGGAGTTTTTTCTCTTTATTTCTGTAAATAACTGTGATTGTGGATTGGGCATTCAGTCTCTTTTGATACTAGTTGATTTATTTAAAATAAAGAAATTGAACTAGGTTGATTCTAAAAATTTATTCTAAATCGCAATTGAATAAGTAGTGTAGCAAGCATTTGTTCTACATTCAAAAAATGTCTACAGTTTTAAAAAGTACTAACATAAAAGCCAGATACAGTGGCACATGCCTGTAGTCCCAAATACTTGGGAAGGAAAGGAAGATAATTTGAGCCTGAGAGTTTGTGATCAGGCTGGGCAACATAGCAAGACCCTGCCTCAAAAATAATAAATACAAATAAAAGGCACTAACAGTGTTAATCTGTACATATCATTGAGTGGCCAGTAACAAAAGTATTTATTAAAATCTATTTTTTCTTTGTCATTTGAGCCTCATTACTCCCCACCTCCTGTTCTATTATATAAAATATTTGAGTAAAATATGGTGTATTTCTGTGGTTGCCATTCTTTAGAAACACTTTTTATGGGAAATTTTAAATACAAAAGTAGAGTAAATAGAACAGTAAACCCTCATGTACCCATCACCTAAAAATACTTTTATTTCAACTTTCCTCCTTTTTTGTTAATTCTAGATAATTTTAAAGCAAGTTCTGGACTTCCTGTTATTTTACCCATTTAATATTCAATATGCTTAATGATAATCATTTAGATTTCATATTTCTTAGACTTTTATATGTTCCAAAAAGAACATATGCTTTCAGGGGGCCCAGGGAAAGGTTGAACAATGACTACTAAATTGCAGTTAGATAGGAGTAAGAAGTTTTGGTGTTTTCTTGCTCAGTAGGGTGTTTACATATCCTCTGTTTTCTCTTCAGATTATATAAATTTTTTGCTTTTTTCATAGTAGTGTTTTTACAGATGGTGATTGTATACTGTATATCTCAGAAAGCTAGAATGAATTTGAATGTTTTACCCTGAAAAAATGATCAATGTTCAAGGAAATATGTTTAACCTGATTATACAATGTATACAAATATCCAATATCCGATTTTTGTGTTTTTATTTACTAATTAAAAAACAATTGAAAAGAGCATTTATGAGACTTAGAAATTATATTTTCCATACATTTATCACATTTAGTAAGATTTCATATGTGTTTAATTTTTAAAAAAATAAAAATTTTTAAATGATTTTTGTTTGAGAATCCTTTGAGATAAAAGGAAAAGCTTGCCTGAGAACTTATGAACTTTTGTTACTTTGTTGGCAAGTTTAAAACATGCAAATAATAATGTTGTTTGTTATTAATTGTTATTTTGCAGTGTATCCCAGTTCCTGATATTAACAAACCCCAGTCAACTCATGCCTTTGCAATGACTTGTATTTGGATTCATCTCAATAGAAAAGCCCAAAATGACAACTCCACACTACAAATTCCAATACCTCATTCACTAAAGTTTCACCATGAGTAAGTTATTTGTTGTTTGATTGTTAATTTTCAGTTTACTAGATAGTGGATTATAGGCTAATATGTATGTATAGGCTAAAATGGTTTCAGTATTTGTGTGAAGTTTGGAAATGATCCCTACTCACTGAAGGTTAGAGTAAATATTTAATATGTATGTCAGAGCAAGAGAAATTGACCGACCAGTCACTGCATCAGAAAATAACTAGAAGATTAATCAATCCTGTTGTATGTTTAGCTGAATTTAAAAATTTTTAAGACTGATCTTTGCTTTTACATGTTTACTTTAAAGTTTTTTATTTAATTGAATTATCTTAGCTGTTATTATTGTGAAAATATTTCAAAATTTCTCAAATGCTTTGGATTTGAGCATGATCTGACAGGGACATCTTTCACTCCCTGAGCTGACAAGACTGATGGAACTGATCTAGCTGGGATGGCTAGCATGTTCCCTATATGTTTTCCAAAGGTAGGATGACTAAGAGAAAGTGTCCTTTTTAGATAGGACAGTGCTTCAGTGCAAGGTTCTAAGAATAGTTGAATTCCCCTCCTAGAACTTTTTCTGAAAGGACTAGTAAATCTCTTTGTAAGAGACCTAGGGTAGTCATACTCAATGCCTCCTGTGGCTTTCATTTTACAAAATACTGTTTCTATATGATACTAATAATGAAGTCATATATTATGTTTAAGCAGATAAATAAGAAATAGAAGGCTCGTTAATGGACTTGTTGAGTTAGTTCTCTGAAACAGCCTAATCCACTGCTGTATATGTAGTATATACTTAACAAATATTATTGTTTAAATTTTAATCATTCAAGTTTCTGAAGTGTTAACCAAACTTGTGTGTATGTCTACAGTATATTTGAAAGAAATTATAATACTTATGGTAATAGAGATAGTATTAGTAGACAGTTGCATAAAACTGAACTTTTAAAAAATTCATGTCAGTTTCATGGAAATTATTTTTATTTTTTCCTGTTTAATGAATGTGAATTTTTAGGTTCTTACAGCAGAGTCTGAGAAATAAAAGTTTACAGATGAATGACTATAAGATTGCCCTGTTATGTAATGCATACTCTACAAATTCAGAATGTTTTACATTACCCATGGGAGCTCTGGTAGAAACTATTTATGGAAATGGAATTATGAGAATACCTCTCCCAGGAACAAGCTGTTTGGCTTCTGCATCTATAACTCCCTTACCAATGAACCTCCTGGATTCATTGACAGTTCATGCCAAAATGAGGTATATTCCTTTTATTTAATTTTTTTGCCCCATGTCTGGGAATTGATACCAGTATAGGACAAACCTTGGTTTCATGATTGTATGTATGTGTTTTATGGTCAGGCACATTTAAAAAATAATTAGATATATTTTGATACAAAATGAATGTTAATTATATAGGAATTCTAGCATGTACAAATAAATGCAAAGAAAATAATTGCTCATAATCCTTCCATAAAAGATAAGCATTGTAGAATTATTTTGTATATATTGTTAGTCTTCTTTTTCCTGTGGATAAATACATGAATTTCTTTGTTTTGCTATTTTTTTGTTTTGTTTTGTTTTGTTTTGTTTTTTGTTTTGTTGTTGTTGTTTTTCTTTTCTTCTGGTGCTGGGGACTGAACCCAGGGCCTTGACCTACAAGGCAAGCACTCTTCGCAAGCACTCTACCAACTGAGCTATATTCCTAGCCCCAACTTTTTTTTAAGTGTTTTAAGTGGACACAACACCTTTATTTCAATTTATTTTTGTTTTCTGTAGTGCTGAGGATTGAACCCTGTGCCTTCTGTGCTGGGGCGAGCACTCTTCCACTGAGCCACAACCCCAGCCCCCTTGTTTTGCTATTTTATAATTCTGTATTTTCAATTAAAATCAGTCAGACACCTTTTCAGGTCCATATTTTTTCAAATGCATGTTTTGAATTGTTACAAAAAAAGCTTTTTATGAAACTTTAAATGATGATTTAACCATTTCCACGTTGTTGGACAGTAAGTTTTTTTGCAATGTCTTCATAGTTTAAAGAAGATGATGAAAACTATTTTAGTCTTTTCACCATCTACAATTTTATTTTCTTTTAAATTGTGTTTTAAATTACATTTTTATTAAGTAATTTTCTGGAAGTAGAATTGCTGGGTCCAGGAATGTAAAATTTTTAAGGTTTTTAATAGGACTGTTTTTCGAATTGTCATGTTTTTCAAAAGATAAAAGGCTCTATTGGGTATGCTTCTAGAAATTCAAGTGTCTCAAGGAGCCAAGTTGAGAATGTAGATGAGTGAAGGCTTGCACAGAAAAATGAGAAGCCCGTTGTCAGTGCACATGAAAGCATGTGCTCGTGGAGGAGACTGAGGACAATGGAGAATCAGGGTTCCATCTCATGGTGCTGCCACTTGAGCTTGGGTTTTAGCAGTGATTTATTAATTCTGTGACAAAGGTTACTTAATTTCTCAATTGTAGTTATTTACATATTTGAAAAGGAAAGTAGACTAGAAGTATCAAACATGCTCGTTTGAGTTATACCCAAAATTTATTTTTTTATGAGCAGGGGGATCTTGATGCATGTGGAAAATACATACACCCCTGGCCAGAAAGCACCATAGAAACTGGAGTTGTTACCATTTGTGCAATACATCATTTCCAAGTGTCCTGCACAACCTAAATGTGTCAAAATGAGTCAAGTCCATTCAAATCATGTCAGTTCAGATATAATGTTGAGTAACCCATAAATATAGTAACACTGGAATTTATGTAAATAGTATGGGTTTTTATTTTCTTTTCTTTTTTATCTTCAGCCTTATTCACAGCATTGCAACGAGAGTGATAAAACTTGCTCATGCAAAGTCCAGCGTGGCATTGGCTCCAGCCCTAGTGGAAACTTACAGTCGTTTATTGGTCTATATGGAAATAGAGTCTTTGGGCATCAAAGGATTTATTAGTAAGACAGGACTTTTTGGTGTTTTTAACTGTTAACTCATTCATTAATTCAGTGGGTATTATTCCATGATATTGGGGGGAACAGACAGTAAAGCCAATAAGTGAAATGTGCAATGTGTCAGTTACTGCATATTATAGAGAAAACCACAGCCAAGTAAAAGGGATAGGAGTTGTGAAGTCAGGGGAATGAATTATATTTTTAAACTATAAGAAAAGGGTAATAACTTTCCTATGTACATATATGAATACAGCATAGTGAATCCCACCATCATGTACATCTACAAGACTGGGGCCCTAATTAGAATAAGATATATTCCATGAGTGTATAATTTTTTTTTAAATGGATTCTACTATCACGTATAATTTTAAAAGAATGAAGAAAAAGAAGAAGAAAGAAAAGTGTAATGGGTTGCAGTGAGAAGGATGATAGATAAGATCCATGTCCTCCTGCAGGTGGTTTCTGGTTAAAGACAATAGTATGGTCCTATGGTGGGTACTGAGTCTTACCGGCAATGAGTAAGGAGTTAGTCTTCATTGCAAAAGATGTGATATAATGTCTGTTAGTTGTTAGCAGTTCTAAGTAATATTTTCTAATTAGAAGTATTTTTTCTGATTCATGGTGATTCTAATTTTTTACCAATACAATTTAAATTTAATAACTCTTTCCACATAACTGAGAGTTGATTCTAACTTTCTTGAGAGACAGGAGAAAACAAAGGAGAATGTGATGTAATTTTTTGGTATTACAAAATAAACCTAGAGGCTGGGGTTGTGGCTTAGCAGTAGAGTGCTCGCTTAATATGTGTGAGACTCTGGGTTCAATCCTCAGCACCACATAAAAATAAATAAATAAATAAAGGTATTGTGTCCAACTACAACTAAAAAATAGTTTTAAAAAAAAATAAACCTAGGCTTGGGACACAGTTCAGTGGTAGATTGCTTGCATCGCATACATGAGGCCCTGGGTTCTGTCACCAGCACTCAAAAAGGAAACGTGAACCACATACTTCAAAAAATTGGGAACATTAAAACTTTTTGAAAATAATTTTTAGAAGAAGTGAGGAAGGTTAGAATAATTATCTTTCATATCTTGTCTCATTTTCCCAGATTAATTTGAATCTCTTTTTTCCAATTCCAGAAAAAAAATTAACTTGGTATAATAATTAAGATCTAGATATTTTTCCATACAATAAAGTGGAAAATTAGGAGAAGAAATGAAAAATATACATGTGTATATGTGTGTGTGTCTTCATGATCATTGTGTATACATGTATCTTTGTGATCATATCTGTACATACATTTTACCCAGTGTGACTTTCTTCAAATATCTTTTAATGCATACCTTAAATTATCTTGTTGCTCCAGGTCAGCTCTTACCAACTGTTTTCAAGTCTCATGCTTGGGGGATCCTGCACACACTTCTTGAGATGTTCAGCTACCGGATGCACCACATTCAGCCTCATTACAGAGTTCAGCTCCTGAGTCATCTTCATACTTTGGCTGCAGTTGCACAAACAAATCAGAATCAACTCCATCTTTGGTGAGCCTGGTGAAGCCTTCCTTTCCTTAAGATTTATAGGAAACTTAATTGAGGATGGAGAAATTGATCTTTCACCTTATCATTTTTTAGTTCATTTGTCATGAAATTCCTCTTCTTCTGAAGTATGGTATTTCTAGTGTAGGAGTGAGGATCGGTTTATTAATAAAAATTGAAAAGGATAGTTGAGTCCTTGCTTCAGGATCTTTGGTCTAAAACTGAGTACTTTAAGGCCTTTACTATTATGTTCTAACCTATTGCCTTAGAATACTGGATTTAAATGTACTTGAAATTATGGTTAAATTAACATTTTGATTTTGTTTTAACTGAAAGTACATTTCAAATAGATTAATTTTCAAAATTTTCAAAATCCAGGTGAAAGTTTTTAGTCCTACTTGCTACAAACTATCTCTTTTCAAATATATGAAAATGTTAGATGATTTTCACTCTTAAAAGTTGGTACCTCAGATCTTTTTAACAAATTAAGCAGCACTCATTCTCATATAATGCTTTTACAGTTTAATTAACCTAGAATTAGGTTTAATTTCCTAATTTTGAACTTATATATGCACCTTCCTCACTTTTCTTTTTCTTGGCCCTTTTTTCAGTGTTGAAAGCACCGCTCTCAGGCTTATAACAGCATTAGGTAGCTCAGAGGTACAGCCACAGTTTACACGTTTCCTTAGTGATCCCAAAACAGTATTATCTGCAGAATCTGAAGAACTGAATCGAGCCTTGATATTGACCTTAGCCAGAGCAACTCATGTAACAGGTATGATTTATGGTACTAACTGCAATGAACCACAGCAGATAAAAGAGTGTGTCATTCTTCTGACTACTGTGGGGAAACATACTAAAAACATACTTTTTTTTAAAGTACTGGTTCTTGAGTTTTTTGATTTTGTGACTGCTTTGTAATCTTAGAAAAAAACTTTTTGAATTCCCAAAGAGTTATTACTTATGGATTATTTCTATGAATATTTACTATCTAAGGTATTTAAAGGAAAAATTTTAATTCATTAAAGAATAAACTGATTACATGTGAACATAAGTAATAATATTTTATGAAAACAAAAGTCTATTTATAGAGAAGATTTTAGTGAAAAAGGTGCCATTGTTTTGCATTTTGCATCACTCTTTAGTGTCTGATATGAAGTAAGATAGCAGGAGTCTCACATCTGCTTCTACATTTCATCTGTTTAGATATGCTAATGTTATTTTAATTAAGGTAAGTGGAGAAAGTATGCCTTTCACAAATACAGAGTTGGAAATGGGAAGAGTATTTTAATACCTTTTTTCAGATAATTGTGAGTATTCTTTGACATTACAGCAAAATTGGACACATGATAGTTTCTTCAAGGTTAACTGCAATGTGAAATCCAAAACCCTCTCAGTTAACGTTTATACATTGTTAGACTATAATCCATTGGCCTATTTTATACATTGAAGAATAGTAATAATTCATGTGAATTTTCTAATTTTGTAAATTGGTCATTTAGAAAATATTGGTTCACTTAGTTATGTATTTCTAGCACATGTTAACATAATTTATTATCTGGTGTCAGCAAATTACATTTGTTAATATCACTACAAATTTCATAAGAAAATCTTCATGTTTTGGAAAACTGTTTCATGGTGTTGAAGAGAAGTTTTCCCATATTCTAATTTTCACTTGAAACATCAAATTTTATCATTGATAATATACTGTTGTTTGTTTGAAGTAACAGGATCATTTGTTAATTTCCAAGAAGATGTCTACTACAGCTTTGACTGAATAATTATAGCTTTATGCCAGATGTTCTTTCAAGTGAAATTGAAATTCCATGAAAAAAATCAGCTAATTTAACTTAGCACTTAATTACACAAATACTTTACCTCAAGATACCCTGTAGTTTGTAACACTTTGTTCATGCTTCCCATTCACATAGAATATTAAAAATACATTGAGAGTTAATATTTTTTTACAGCTTTGTCAACAATAGTCAAAAAAGTCACTTTTAGTTGACACATAAAATTATACATATTTATGGAGTATCAGGATGTTTTGATATGTGTATGTATTGTGTAATATTCAAGTTAGGTTAGGCATATTTAGCTCCTTAAACATTTGTCATTTCTCTGTGTTAAGTACATTTAAAATCCTTTCTGCAAGCTTTTTAAAAAATATATTGTAACTTTAAAAAAAAAGTATATTGTAACTTATTGATGATAACCTAAAGTGAAACTGGCACTGCTTTTTTTTAATCACTTGAGAATTATTGTGATGAATACAGTGGCTATTGGCTTATAGTCTGGTGGTCTATTTTATTTGTACTGAGAAACAGCAGTTTTACCAAAATTGTTTTTTGCACCCTTAATATTTACATTGACACATAAAAAGCCAGTGATATCTCAGTGTTATTATTTTAATAGGTTTGATGTTATGCAATCCTTGAAAGAACATTAGGGATCCCCAAAAATCAGCAGGCCACACTTTCCAAATGGTTATTAAAAAAAAAAAAGGTATTGAATTTAGCAACCACAAATATACTTATGCAAACTATATTATTTTATATAAAATAAGACTCTTTGATTTAAAGATATATATGCATATAGTATATAGTTGCTTCAATCACCAGAAAAGACATCTACTTTCTCAGTTCTTTTCCTTTGGTTCAATAAAATCTTGTAAATCATTGTGTTGAATAGTAGTGGTGGCCTGTTCCACTGTTCTTTTGCTGGTACTCTAATAACCCATAAAGAAAGAGTGAGAAGGAGATTTCAGATGTCATCTCCTCACTAATTCTGTGCATAGTTCCTAATGTGATTATCCAAGTTACTCATAAACTCAGAAAATCTAGGCCCTAAATGGAGCGTAACTAGGGAAGCAATGAATACACTGTGGTGAGATTCTTGAATGTACATAATTATTATGTTCTCTATAATATCTTTGAGTTGTGGATATGATGATCACTTACATCTGGATTACATCTACTTGTGTATGTTTAGATTTTTTTACAGGCTCTGATTCAATTCAGGGAACTTGGTGTAAAGACATACTTCAGACCATCATGAGTTTTACTCCTCATAATTGGGCTTCACATACCCTTAGCTGTTTTCCAGGCCCACTACAGGTAATTTGGTCTTGAATGCCATATTGGGTATATATGAAATCTTTTTTCTCATTCACAGTGTCATTCTGGGGAGTTAATCTTGGTGACATCCAGAGATAATTTCTTTTTTAATATACTTCTGTTTCCAGAATCTCTTGAGAATCTCTCATCCTACTCTAGAACCTGACATGTTTCTGAAAATTTAATTGTTATGGCTTCATCTTAATAATTAACATTTTTAGAATCTTACAAATTAACATGAAAAAATTTCTCATAGAATTGAAATGAAGAGAAATATAATCTAATGGAGTTTTATAGAGTGCATATATGCTATATTTAACTGAATTTTTTTTAAGTCATGGCAAAAGTATGTACCTATTATGATCAATCTGTATTCTACTTTTAAGAGGAAATTTTAAGGCATTATGAACATTTGTTTTCATAACTTCTAGTAGGACTATAGCAGTGGATCTCAAACTTTTAGACTCACCTGGAGGGCTTGCTAAGCTACACATTGCTGAGTTTCTGGTTCAGTAGATCTGGATAGGGCCTAAAAATTTCTTTTGCAAGATCCAGGTGACACTGTACTTAATTACACAAATATTTTACCTCAAGTAATTACTATGATGGTTTAGGGACCACACTCTGAGGAGTCTGATGTAGTGGATCTTCCTTTCTTCCTTATAGAGACACTAAGATGTATAACCAAAGGGTAGATATGTTTCTTTCTTATCCCTCTACCCCTTCTAAGATTAGTAACATATGATTGCGGAAAGCTTGAATTCACACTTGCTTGGAATTTCTGTTTAGGAAATCTCCAGAAAAGGAACCTTTTTAAAATCTAGTTAAGCCTACATAATTTCCAGATACAATTCTGCCCTTAAGTACTGACTTGTTTGAGGTCACTTAGTTTATTAATGTGAAAAACAAATCTAGAACTTGTTTCTTAACCCCATGTCCAATTTTCTTTTTACTATAACCAGTGAAAAACTTTTGGTGTTCCTTTCAGGCATTCTTCAAACAAAATAATGTACCTCAGGAAAGTCGTTTTAATCTGAAAAAAAATGTTGAAGAGGAGTATAGGAAGTGGAAGTCTATGACCAATGAAAATGACATCATTACTCACTTTTCCATACAAGGCTCTCCTCCTCTTTTCCTTTGTCTTCTCTGGAAAATGCTCTTGGACACAGATCATATTAATCAGATTGGCTACAGGTAAGCCAAGAACCAAAATTTGCATTCCATTTGGCAAACCATTATATCCATATAGCAATAGAATTTATTTTTTACTCTGTACCTTCCAGAGTATTAGAGAGAATTGGAGCCAGGGCCTTGGTAGCCCATGTGAGAACATTTGCAGATTTCCTGGTATATGAGTTTTCTACTTCAGCGGGAGGTCAGCAACTTAATAAGTGCATTGAAATTCTTAATGACATGGTATGGAAATATAACATTGTTACATTGGACAGATTAATTCTCTGCCTGGTAAGAATACTTTTTTTTGTTTGGATACTTTTATTTTCTTTTTTTTTTTATTCTCTCAAAGTGTGTGACTGATACTATTTTTTGTTTGGATACTTTTCTTTTCTTTTTTTTTTTTATTCTCTCAAAGTGTGTGATGATAGATCTTGTACTGATCTACTCAATATTGCTTCAGAGAACTGAATGGATTTCCATTACAATCAACCATTGCTTTCACTTCATTTTAAAAAAATCAGAGTTTTTCTAATTTTCTTATTTATTCATTTAATAAATGTGTTTTGGATAACTACTGTTCTATGCACAGCAAGTATAGAAATATGGTCCTGGTCTTATGATACTGTAAAATATGAACAGTTAAACACTGAGTGGCTCCCACTAGGTGTTACAAGTAGTAAAAAATTACTGCATTTCTGTGCAGAGAGCTAATAAAACCATTTCTTTTCACTCTGGTAGCTACAGTTTTTAACTACAGTCATAGTCACTGAACATTCTCCAAATATTTTCTTGTCTCCTGACTTAATGTTTATCTTAAGCAAAATTTGAAGAGTAGACTGAATCAGGTTGAAAATAATGCACATTTAAAAATTGCTATAATGGTTATATTTCAGTTGGCTTAGTTTTTTGACATTAGCTATGGAACATAAATGTAAAGATAGTTATAATATTTTAGAGGAAACAAGGTAAATCTATAAATCAGTAAAATAAAAGGGTAAAATAGAGACATAAGGAAAATATTGCCAGGAAAATAAGAGATCACACATTTACTTAGGTGACGGTTATTTTGTGATAGACTAGACATCTAAGGAAATCCTAATGATAGATATTGCTGTATTGGAAATTTAGACTACCAAGTAGCAGAGCAATGCTTTTGCATAGATTGGGCATTTTCATTCAGTTTCTATGTTGTTCTCCAAAGGCTATGCGCAGTCATGAAGGAAATGAAGCCCAGGTTTGTTACTTCATAATTCAGTTGCTGTTACTCAAACCAAATGACTTTAGAAATCGAGTAAGTGACTTTGTGAAGGAAAATTCCCCAGAGCACTGGTTACAGAACGACTGGCATACCAAGCACATGAATTATCACAAGGTACTCATTCTATTTAGTTTTTAAAGCCATACTTAGATATTTGCTTAATTGATTTGGCTGTTTTCTCTGTGGTTCTACTGTTTTCTTTCTAGTTCATATGGAAGTAAACTGACTCTAGTCTAATGAACAAAGAATATATGGAAACTAGAGTTTTAGTAGACATTTGAGTATTTATATAATGAAGAAGGTATAAAGCAGTATAATTTAAAATATTTCCTCTTTGGACCTAGGGTCATAGCTTGGTGGAACAATGAATGTACTTAGCATGAGCCCAGTACCAAAAAAGAAAGTACCTTATTTAAAAGAAAAAAAAAAATCTAAACACTATTTTCAGTTTTATTTAGCTTTTTTAAGAGAATTTTTAAAAGATGCCTCAGACATTTACCATCTCCTCATTTCCACAGAAATATCCAGAAAAACTGTATTTTGAGGGCCTGGCGGAACAAGTTGATCCTCCTGTGCAGATTCAGTCCCCCTATCTGCCAATTTATTTTGGAAATGTGTGTCTCCGATTCCTTCCAGTATTTGATATAGTAATTCACAGATTTTTAGAGTTGTATCCAGTATCCAAATCACTAGAAACTCTACTGGATCACCTAGGAGGCTTATATAAATTTCATGGTGAGCTTTTTCAAATTTTAATTCTATCTAATACTTACATGAGCAAAAGTAGATTGTGCATGACCATGTGGTAATAGTGGTTCTAAAGGTTTTATTTTAAATGTTTTATTTTGTGAAGTGTTTTAAGAGTAAGTACAGTGGGGGTGATATCATGAAGTATAAAATATGACATAAAAATATAAATAAAAGTATTAGAGCAGAGCAATGTTACTATGAACTAAACAGATATTAACAGGTTTCTTTGTTGGGGGTGGTATTTGATTTTTGATGCATATGATTTGTATAAGGAGAAGGTAAATGGGAGCACTTTAAGCAGAAGATATAGTTTAGGAAAATCATGGAGAAAAACAAGGCATATTTGAAGAAAAATTGTTTTATTGCTCTTAATTGAGAATGTTTTTACTTAAAATAAGACTGTAAATCACCTTAAATGCCAGTTTTGATTTTCTAACTTGAAGATAATAGTGAGCCAGAAGCTACTGAGTAAGATGATGTTATGAAAATCACTATTTTAGAAAGATAAGGCCAGTTATAGTTTTTAGCACACCTTGGAAGAAGGATGGCATTAGTGACATGTCAAAAATTGGTATGTATTATTAGTATGTAAACAAAGATGTTGGCAAGGGACAAATAGTCAAGAAAGAAGGAATAGAACTTGATAGGAAAATATGGAAGGAAAGAAAGAAATCAAGGAAAACTCTAACTATTCTAACTCTAGTTAAGCATCATATCTGGAGAGGGATTGGGTCAGCAATAGAAGAGTGAAGATTACTTAGAGTAGCCACAGTGGGAACAAAGTATATGTATCTGGTGAGCTGATTTTCTTCTTCATTTTTAAGATATCTTCCTCTAAAGCAGAAGCATGGATTGTATTAGCACTACAGAACAGGTGTGAATTTCAAGAGGGTATTCCTTTAAAAATTACTTTTCTTTCGGATTAGGTAATATATGCACATGGTTCAGAAGTATATACAGTGAGAAGTCCCATTCCTGTCTTCTTGTTAGCCAGTTTCATTCTCTGTAGGCAAAACTATTGTTTGTACCATGTTCTTCCTGTATCATGCATTGACATTATTTGTATCAGTACATAAAGAACTGCTCATATATGCAATAATTTACCAGTTTTTTGTTTATAACTGTTTTAGGTTGTTTCTAATCCTTTGCTAGTGTAAACAGGACAGCAGTGACAGTTTTGCCATATGTCATTTTTGCAGGATAAATTTCCAGAAGTAGAATTGTTAATTCTGAGAATGAACAGCCTTAAATGCAAACTATATGTATTATTGGGAGCCTTCTGTCTGTCTTAAGATTGAAGTATTTATTGAATGCAATTGCCTAGCTCCTGAAATCGTTTCATAATCTTCTGAGTTTTTTAATAATCTTGTTTTTTACAGTTTTCAGTAACGTA